GGAGTCATCGCCGCCCCCGTCACCGTCCACGCCGTGCACGCTGCCCCCGTCGCCGTGTCCCACTCCAGCATCGTGCAGAGCCACTCCTCTCCCGTCGTTCTTAAGTCCGTGCCCGTCGTCCACGCTGCTCCCATCGTCAGGACCGTCCCCGTCGTCCACGCCGCCCCCGTCGTCCACACCGTCCACGCCGCTCCTGTCGTCCATTCCGTCCACGCCGTGCACGCCGCCCCTGTCCTCGTCCATTAAGCCCAGCCCCCTGTTCCAAGCCCCCACCCCATCCTGCAATATTTATTTCCTTTTCCCCCCAAACCCCTGCTCAGTACCTGGAAGTGACAGACCCACTAAAAATAAATAAAACGATGGAAATTTTCCGATAAAAATCCTCGCCTTTCTCTATGACCTCTTTACACAACCAACACCCCCAACACCACCAACGCCTGGCTCAGTCAGCATTCACAACCAAACCCAAACTTGCATCTAAAAATGATGGCAGAATCATCAAACAAGGCGCACGCCCGCAGGATCCACGCGTCCCTCGCACCTGCTCTGCTGCAAACTCTGGCCTCTTCCTGGACAAACATCGCTCTCTAAATGAATCAAAAAGTTTGCCCTGCCAACACGCAGTTTTAGTTTCCTTTTCGAGAGTGAAAATTATGTAATCTCTTTAAAGCTGAGACGCGGGAGTCTGGCGCGGGAGGAAGTGGGGGCGGGGGGTAGCATTAGCATTGAGGAGCATGTTGTGCAGCTGCGCGGGCCTGGCTTGTACCAGCAACAAGAGCGGAGGTGGGAGACTGTTTTGTGGGCCCTCCCCCACCACTGTGCCAACGCTACCAAAATTTGCAAGGCTAATGTGCGCATTAATTGAAACATGGGCTATGTGTGCTACCTGTCTCCCGCGACACCTATCTCTATCACTTCCCACACACAATAACGCCCGCCGCATGCTTTCGTAAAGGGTTCGCGCGCACGGAATTGAATTTACCGAATACTTGACGCATAGTTCCGGAAGAAACTTGAAACCCCCTCCCCCCGCCCCCTTTCCATACCCTTTGATTTATGAACCCCGGCTGTGTGGCGCTTGAAATGTACTTCAGCGTCATTCTGGTGCTGCATGACTCGACGTTTGACGGGATTCCAGCCACCACCTTCTCTCATGAAGATGGTCGCTATTTTGCGCCCCAACGATAAAAGACTTTGGCACTGCTGGGGCATGGGCGTGGCGGGGCGTGGCATGGCGGGGCTTGACGGGGCGTGGTGGGGCGTCGCGGGGCGCGGCGGGGCGCTGCTGAGCGATGTCGATACGCCGTCAACTTGGCAGCGGCACGTCACGCCCCTACCATTTCCCGATAGGGTCACGTAGTGGCTGAACTATGCATGAGGGAAGTCGCCACACTCTCCTTCCTTCTCTCTCCTGTACAAGAAGGGGTAGAATCGATGATCGCACGCCGGTGAAAAATTCACACTTCATCAAACACGTTTCATATCATCCGCCACTGACTGGACGGGAAAGACCCCCCCGCCCTCACTCCGCAGCGCGCGCCGCCGATATTGTAAATCATGCTGACCCATTTCAGAAGAAGCGTCGGCCCACCCCATCAAAATTTGTCGAACCACGTCGCAGCACTTGACACCGTCACACGCGGAGGCGGCCACGAAAATAACCGTGGCCCCTTTCGCCATTCCCCAACGTGATTTATTTTTACCCGTCTCGATTAGCAACAGAAAGATTCAATTATGACACATTTACATCGACTGGATAAGCTTTCCAAACTAACCACAATCAGTGCAGTCAAAGCGTTGATTGTAACTCTAGAAAGAATGGATCAACATCCAAATAACCAGTATTCGCATGGAGTAAGCACCGATGGTAAACTCACCTGTCGAGAGAGACGGCGATGAGGCTGTACACGGACGCCACGACGGACACTCCCTGCACGTAAGAGACGCACTTGCACATCCACCATCCCAGCACCCACGCTGCAACACACAGAACATACGAGCGTTAGAGAAGCATTATAAAAAATTCAATAAAGCGCTGCCCTTACTTATTTTTACATAAAAGGTCGAGAAATCACGCTGGCCACGATGTAAAGCACGGTAACATGTTTAGAGGGAGAGCGGGAGGTGGGAGGTAAAGAACGAATCAAAACGAAAAAGAGTTTTAGAGAGAACGGTGCCCTCTCCTTGCCATACGCACAATCACCTTGGCACACCCGCACGTCTGTGTGTGTGTGTGTGTGTGTGTGTGTGTGTGTGCGATGGGTTGCGCGCCCACCGGGCGCGTCCTGTCACATCAAACCTGAGCCACCTGCTCAATCCGCTGGTAGTTTTCGACTGGTGGAAAAGAAGAGGACTGGCCCAGGTGGATTGGGGGTAGTTAGGGGGAAGG